CAAACTTTAAGAAGTGTCCTAAACCTCAATTCAATTTGAAATTTGAAGAGTAAAATAAAAGAGAATTTATAAAGATACAATGAGAGACGAATAAGATAAATGGAAAGAATAGGGAGGTATGTTTGATGATTTTTTATTAAACTTTGATAATAAAAAAAATGTTATTTAATAGAACATTACTGTTCTTATATTTGTATTCAATAATTGTATTTTTGATATCATTATTTTTATTAGATATGAATATGAATGGATCGTTGAAATGATAAAAAATTAAAAATTGATAATATAATAGAAATTTAAAATGATGGAATATTAAAATAATAAATTTTCATCAACTAATTATTAAAAATATAATATAATTAATTAAGTGATAATATATGTTAAGATTGCTGTACAAAATGTCTTGAGAGTTGTCACGGTTTGGTGAAAACTTTTTTTGTGGAACTAATAATTTGAGTTATTATAATATAATTTGAGTTATATATTTTTATTATTATAAATTTCATATACTTATACTTCAATATACTAATCTTAATTAACTAATTAGGCAAGAATGCTAGTTGAGATAAAGGTAATGAAGACGCTGATGAATTGATAAGAAAGCCAAATTTTATATTCTTTTTAATGAAGCTCTAAGCGTCTATCTAGGTTGGCTACATCTATCTATGAAATTAGATGTAGAAATATTATAGGAAAAATAAAGTCTAATAGAGACGAGCAGATGAACCATAGGACAGGCAGAATACTGAACTGGTTAGAGAAGAATTAGGAAATCTAACAGAAAAAATGCTGAACTGATTAGAGAAGAGCTAGGAAACCTAACAGAATAATATATTCATAAGGAGAAAATTGAAAATATACTCTCTCTTTTTTTTTCATTAGTGGCTGTCTAGCTTTACTCTTACCTAGCATCTCTCTCCTGCTTACATGTATTTTTATTTTCCGTTGCCACATATCCCTATCTTTTTCAACTCCAATAGTCTATATTGTACCTTATCATCCCTGTTAGCTCCCTTGTTGTTGTTGCTATCAATGTTGGCACTGGAGTTGAGGTCTTCTCAGCAGTCATCACATGTTGTTGCTAGTTCTCGATATCCTTGTTATCAATATAGTGTAGTAATCATCCATGAACTTTATTTTGCTTCACGTAAGAATATTAAAATTCCAGGGAATTCTGAATTTTATCTTATAATTATTTATTTACACAATTTATTTCTAAACCAAATGATAAGTATTATCCTGCCTCCTAATGTGCTAAGAAATATACCTTTTCTTTTTTGTATTGGGTCCAATGAACTTAAAATCCATGTCATCAGAGTGCTTTTGTTGATATCAATGTAGTATTGCTTGGTAACCATAAACTTCACACTATAGGTAAGATGTATATTATGTGTTCATTGGTATTTCCACAAATTCTTGGACCTTCATGAATGTAGCATTGCTGATTGGTGAATGTGTGACTGATAAGTAGACAAAATGGTTGTTTTTTTTATAATTAAAGTAGACTCCGAGGTTTGAGAAGCTGAGTTTGCAATCCCACCCTCAACTTGGCAGTGTTTTGATGAGCATTGGAACTGTAATTTCAATGATAAGTGGACATACTTTATGTTGTTATGTATAGTTATGTTCGTTGCCTTTATCTCTAGCCAGATAAGTGCACATAATTATGAATAGTTATATTTGTTGCCTTTATCTTTATAGAGAGCATGATTTGAGTATGGTCATTTTTCATTTGGTATGCATAACTATGTTTGTTGCCTTTATCTCTACATGCTAATTCTAGATGTCCAATGGAAAAACATAATGCAAAGATTTTTTTAAAGCTATAATCTAATTGATGGAGTTGAGTCGAATATGGCTGGACCCTTGTTTGTTTACATTCGTGATCCTTATTTGTTTATGTTGGGGTCGAAGGGGTTAGACCTAAACAAACTCAAAGCTAAAAAACAAAAATTAATCAAAGAGCATTTATTTTCTGGAAAGAGAAATGACACACCGAAAAGCTAGCATCAAAAAGGGCTGGCTAAGTAACACTAAACAAACAGAATTTTAAAGAGAAAAACAACCAATGTTATATCTACTAATGGATAGTTGAACACAAACAAATCAATCACCCGAAAAAGAGCATGTATTTGAAAATTTTAATAATGGCTCAGCGAGCTTACGTGAAATGCAATAGAGCGTTCGACCAGACTACTGGGTGGATGGTTTTGGCGAGGGATAAATACGGAGAAGTTGTTGCGTTGGGCAAGCGTGAGATGAGCGAGAGCCACTACTATGTTGAAGAGGTAGAAAGGAGTGATGCGTTCAACTTTAAATGGAGATCCACTCGGCAAGGTACCCCTTCTTCAGGACAAGCGGAATGAAAACCATTGGGTTTGATAGCCGCTGAAAGGCCGGATGGAGTAGTAACCGTTCGGCTATAAATGCATATGCGTTGAGGAAGAAATTTCTTCATTACAAAAGGGTGCAGCAGTCGGAACTAAAACGGTTTGGTGCGGCAATCGGAAGTGGAACGGGTGTGGAAGCCATCGAAACGGTCTACTTTAGATGAATTTGCTCGGTTGTTGTGGATATGTGGTCAGCTAGGATTTCGTTCAGAGGTGATAGATGGACGCTCACTTTGGGATCGCTCGATGTGGGAACAGATGATTCTGATGGAGAAACACTCGCTCTGATAGAGAAACGCTCGCTTAATGCATTCAAACACGACGGGCGAAATTAAATTTATTTTAAAAACATGGTTGTGATTGAATAAATGCTTTGTATGAATAGAAAATTGAATAATATGAATAGTCTTAAACGATGGCAGTAAATAAATGAATAATTAATACATTCAAACATGGAAAGTGAAATTAAATTTATTTTAAAAACACAGGTGTGATTGAATAAATACTTTCTATGAATAGAAAATTAAATAATATGAATAGTCCTAAACGATAATGGTAAATAATGAATAAATAAATATTTTATAGAAAGTGATAAATGATAGAATTTGTAGAGTCATATATAAACGTTGTGGATTAATTTAAAATTTATACATGAACGATCAAGATTTGCTATGGGTGGAATCCTAAACAGCTTTTATATATACTAGTAAAAATGTCCGTGCATTAAATGCACGTGAATAAAAATTTAAAAATAAAAATTCATAGATATTTTAATTATATTATCATTGTTAAGATGAAAAAAAAATTATTAAATTTATTATTACAGATAATTATAATCACTAATGTTTATTTGCATGTGCAAAAAAATTTACATGAAGAAAAAAAATAAAAATTAAGTGAAAAAGTATCATTAATTTTGTTAGCTTTATTGCACGTGCATATAAAAAATTTAAAATAAGAATTCATATAATGAATATTTTAATTATATTTTATTTGATAAATAATAAAATTATTATCTTCATTTCTATAATTAATTATAATTAATAATAATATTAGTAAAAAATTATATTTTTTTCTTAAAATAATATTAGCAAAAAAATTCATGCAGAAGAACAAATTTAGACATTTTATTCACCAAATCTGCAACACAAAACAAAGGAAAAACCAACCTAAATAAAAAAAGGGATTTGAGATATGCTAAAAGCCCAAAAGCTCATCTACTTTAAATAAAACAATGAGGAGACATTAATAGCACTAACAACTAAATGGCAAAATCGTCGAACAATACATAGTTATAGATATCTCAAGAACCCAAAGAAACATCATAAATATAATATAAGCATTATTAGTACAAATTCAAAATGTAGTGCGGTAGACAGAATAAAAAAGTACCAAATCATGACCATGAATATCTCCATCTCAACACTAATATGAAAAAAGAGTTTTAGGATGATACTCTTAGCCCAGTTATATTATATAGGTGCTAAGATGCCCATGCATGATAACTTCCAAATGAACAAACCAACCCACAGTTCAACATTTATCTTCCAGAATCACACGAACTCGTCAGTCTGTTGGTACATGCTGCTCAATAAAATGTCTGAATTGGTGAATAAAATGACTCGTGTGTTTGGCATTTCACATTAAGAGATGTTCCAAGAAATGCATATTATGTCGCTACTTTAAGTAGAAGAAAATGAATCAGTCAAAAAAAGATATTTCAAAAGTTGAATATGTTATCTTAAAATGAAGCCACTGATTAAAAATGTTTTCAGAAGATTTCTCCTCATGTTGAAAGCTAGAGCACATAAATCAGATAAAAGAACTATATGGTGCATGCATATATTCTTCAAAATAAAAGAAGCATGGCAAAAAAAACATTTCCTCTATAATATTGCATTAAAATTGTCAATGGAAATTACACGGTAAACCTTAACATCTAGCTAATTTATATTATGAGTGAAGGTATAATCTCATTGTGGGCATCATATGATAAATTAATAAGAAAATAAATCATAGAATATAGCAGTAGTCAGAATATGATAAAAAATTATTAAAATCAAATCCAATAATAAAGTTGATCACAAATTATGTGAAGAATTTAATGTATGACAATAAAAGTTGGAGTAAAAAAAAATTAAAAACTAAAAAATTTCTGAATTATAGAAAAATTGCACAGAACATTGAAAGCATAATATTACAAAAATTATAAATTTTCTTAAAATAAAATAATGAAAGGTACAAATTACTTACCTCGGGCAAGAAGTAGATGATAAATAAGAAGGAAAAATCACAGCCTCAATAAATCAGAGCCTCAATATATTTGATGTAGACAATTTATGTAGATAATCCTAAAAAAAAAAGTAAAATATTTGTTATGCAAAAATAAATTGATATAATAAAGCATTACATGAATGTGTCTAAATTGACAAATGCTAAAAAAATTATATATAAAATTTATGGGGGAGATAATTTTAATTTGATATGTAAAAATAGTTGAAACCATTATTATATATATATATAGGATAATTTTCTGAAATAAAAAACATACTTATTATTCTATAACATAAAAGGAAAATGAGATACTAGAATTTTATACAGTTTCCGATAATTTCAGCCATCTAATGTTTTAAACTAAATTTGACAAATGAATTCGTAAATAAAATTGGTATAAATTGTAATCAACATCTAAATCATGGAAAGGAGCATACAATCAAGTAAATGCTATAGAGTAGGATGAAAATGCTTAACAAGATAAACGACTATGAATCCCTTACTGCTGCGAATGGGTTGCAAAAGATGCAAAAGTTGATCCATTCAATTGCAAAGAGAGGTTGCTTGATATGGGTAATGAACTGCAGATTATTATTTCATTAAATTCTTCCATTCATGCATGAGAAGATGCTGCTGTTGATAAGATAGCAGAGCGATCTATTTTTCCTACATAACCCAAAGCAGCTAAACCAAAGGATAGTGTTCTATCAACCAGTGAGAATGAGTATGAATTATTTGATACAAACGTAATTCATGGTAAAAGAACAAATGATAGTATAGGCATGCAAGATTATCATGGGAAAGTTACAGAACAAAATGCCATTAAACTCCAAACTGCAGAAGTTGACAATGCATGAGTGTTGAGGGAAAGATATTTGTTAATTTGGTAATGTTTTCAGTTCATTTTGCATTACTGTTTACAATTCTTTGATCATTGATTGTGTTTAACAAATGTTATTCGTGATAATAGATACGACAGGTGATTGTAAGAAAAGAGGTTCAGCAGACATAATGATAATACCAAAACATAAAAACTTCTTACAATAAAATATTTTTCTCTCTCATCTTTCTTTAACTTAATTCATTACTATTATAGTAGCATTTAATCAAAATCACCAAAACATAACAACATGATCAGTCCTCAACACTTGCCAGCACATTTGCAAAATATTGATACCCTCAACAATAACTTCATAAGGATCACCATTTAGAGTGAAATTGCGTCTAAGAATAAAACTTTTTCCTGAATAAAGGTACACAATTGTATCAAAATACTGAAAAAGGCAATAAGAATCAAATTTCGTGTACAGCTCAACAACTCAAATTTCTAACATATTTTGATAAAATTTCACATTAATATTTTTAGGCAAACAGACAAGTTGAGTGGTTCAATCTAAACTTGTTAGTTGGTCTTGCTCAACTTATGGATCTTCAATTGAGCAGAGCCCGAGCTAACTCACGGGCCGACTTTACTCAATTACACAGCTAAAAGAAATCTCCATCTTCATCAGAGAGCCTTCATCTCATGAATAGATATGTTATGATTATTTTAAAATCAACATATTTTTAATATCTTCTTTCATGTGAGAACTAATGTATAAAAGGAACATGATATACAAGGAGGCAACAACTAACACCACACATTTTTATGGCATATAAATAAAAAAAGAAGGTTGGAAAGATATTGAGATGAATGGCTATAAAGAATATTAATCTTCATGAAATTCATCATATGTTGAATGCATATGACATTTATGCTTCTTGCAACTTAAAACTTTTATTAAATTTTTCAAATAAAAATTCTTAGAGACAAGTCCAACCATTCTTATTAAATCAAGCTGTGTTACAAAGTTAAAAAGTTAGTAGTCAAATTAAGGTAGTTTATTAGTTACAATTCCAAGAATTGATATATATTTCTTACATGCAAAAGGCTAAAGATAGCTGCTATAAAGGAAACAAAATGAAGCATTTGAAAGAAATGAATCATACATAAAATTATTGCTCAACTGAGCTCTCCATATATTGGAACACTATGAATTATAAGGCACGTCTTCGATCAGTTGTTGGCAAATAAATGGCATATATCAAGGCAAAAAATTAAGGTACGTGGATGAATGAATTGCTAGAGTTCGAAAATAAGATAATGAAAATTATAATTTGGTGTGACAATCAAAGTGCAATTCTAACTAAGAATCAATTTTTTTATGAAGAACAAAACGAATTGGCATAATGATGTGTCTTGGAAGTTAAAAAAGCAAGAGAGAGCATTTTGGAAAGAAGAAAGTGTTAAAAGCAAGTGCATAAGAATATAGATCTGAAGTCCTTCCAAATTATAGCAGGTTTTTGTTTTAGAATGAAAGCCGTAAGAGTGTTGCTAATGGCTTTAGTGTGATTAATATGAGTGAAATGATTACATATGTAATACTGACTATTCTCTATTTTAATTACTCAATCTTAATTCTGGAGATTTTATCCTCTCTTATTTTTTTCATTCTTCCATGTAATAGCTCTCAAAAACTTGATCTTATCACACATAACTTTCCCTTAAAAGGTAATCTTTAAAAAAAAAAACTAACTTAAAAAATTGACAAATTTAATAGGTTATGCAATTTAGTTGATGCAGCTAGAAATCGTTATTGATTTTAAACCACACAAACAACTTCAAAATACCTAACATGTAATGATTTCAATTTTACATAAAAAAATGAATAAAAAAGAAATCATCATGTTCTAATTATGTTTAATATATATCTACAGATAATAAAAGAAAGTCTATGCGTGGAAAATATTAGTTATTTGTTGCCAAGGATAGAGTGGAAGTTGAGGATGATTTGTACCTCTTCAAGTGAAAGCATGCCCCTCTTGATATATGTGCTCAAGTAGTTGGTCCATCTTAAACTACAGCTCTTCACACATCTATTAAATCCTGTAAGTGAGCAATAACATGCTTTCTTGACCATGCTCATATTCATATTATATTGCTTAATTTCTTCGAGTGACCTTACGTCTATTGCTTTTCCTTACTAATAATAAGTCCAAAGTATGTTTCCTACTTCCTTAATTTCAAAAGGTGTTACCATCATGCAATTACATATAAAAAGTTAAAAAACAATAACATAGTCTCAGCAAAGTCAAAATCGAAATTCTAAGAACCTGAAAAGAACTAACTCAATGCAACATGATCAGGAGGTAATGAAACCTAAACTGCAGTCCTAAGAAGAATGATGGATGCTTCAACAGATTTTTTTTTTTTTTTGCCTCAACAAATATAGAGTAAAGAATACAAAAAGAACATACTCATTAAAGATCTGTTTTGATTTAGTCACCATTAAATAGCTAAAATATTGGTAAAAAAATAAATTAGTGTTCAACTCGATGAAAACTCTTATCAATCCTTACTCACAAATCCTAATCCCCAAAATACTCCTGTTGATTGCCTCCTCGCAGAAACGTTATACCCATTACCACTCCTTGTTTCAACAGAATTGGTAGTTCAGCTCTGCTCTCGCACCAACTTGACCTAAATCCTCGCATATCATTCCCGTGACGTATCCTCTTTCAGACTTTTTCTCTCAAAATTTGAAAATGAACATAATCATAGTAAACATTTCCGGAAAATAAAGAAATAAATCACAAACAATAAATACACTTGTTGACACATCCGAAGTATACCCTAAAGCATTAGGAAGACTTCGGTGATTCATCAAACAATCCAAAGTATTTATGAAATTTTCAACAATCAAGCAACGCTCATTAAAATTTTCAAGTCTCGCAACAAAGGAAAATGATCAATTCCAAATAAAGTATAGATACTACCTTGAATCTCGAGGATTTCTCCAAGCAGCGTAGGAATGTCGTACTCAAGCACGACTAGGAGAGAAAAACAGATGAGTAGTTGCGCTCGGCGAGTGAGAAATGAGAGAGTAGAAAGCTAAAGAAGTGAGAAGTGGTGTGTTGGGGTTGGGCTTTAAGATCGGCTAGGCGACTGCTCGTGCGACAAGATGCTGAAACACTCCAGCTGAAAGGGAGGACGATGTAGTAACGGATAACGATATGAATGCATATGCGTTGGGAAGTTTTTCATTAAACTACAGCAGGCATTATCCGAAATGGTGAGGCGAAGTCAAAGGGCCGGATGAGGTAGCAATCGAAACGCTTGCCGCATTTAGAAGCCGAACATCAGTCGGCTGTGATAAAAGTGCGATTAATAAAATATTTTGGACTCTTGTTTTAACGAAGCATTTACGTAAATTTTTTTTAGGTTAAATGATAAAATTTGAAGAGTCCTATATGGACGTTATAGATTAATTTAAAATTTATAGATGAATGATCAAGATTTACTATGGATGGAATCCCAAATATAGCAGTATAGATATTCCAATATGTTTTTGTACTTTCTCATATGAGTTTTCTGCATCTTATTTGGGAAGATATTGACATGGTAAGCTTAGTAATAATCTCTTTAGTTAGTGGAAGGGAGAATGGTTCAAAAGATCTGTTACAGAAGAAAAAAATCCTATAAAAAGAGACAAATTGTTAACCATGATATGTTGACCTTAAAAAGGATTTAAAAACTCGAACCTCAGTACCTCACAATCAATCACACACAAATTCATTAGTAAAAGAAGAATTGAGACGCATAATGATTATAATTAGCTGGAAAAAGATTAATGTTTATGTTCATAATCTTCTATTTTCAAACTTACGGTCTCCAAGCAAAAAATAATATTTTTTTTATTTTTACAGACTAGAAAGGATTTAAGCTACATTCATGAATCTTTTTTCATTTCAAAGTGTTGACAATCATATGTTTCTTTTACATAACTTTTGAGATCTGCAAATAATAATTGTGAGATTTTTAAATGGATAATACGATCGAAGATATTTATTATATAAAATTCATTTATATAAGAGATCTGTTTGATTAAAAATTTATTTTCTATACTTAAGGCTTCATTTGATCTTGTTAAAACAGCTTTTTAGTTTGTAGTACAAAAATTAAAACTTTTTAAATAAAAACCTACTTCTTAAATAAGTTTTTTTTATATAAAAATTTTAATTTATATATGAAAGGGGGAAATAAAAAATAGGATAAACTAATCAAAAGAAAATAGAGAACTTTACAGATATGAATCAAACATAATAAAAATTGACAAACAACTATGGCGGTGAAAGAGTTATCAATTCTGATTTTGTTATCGAAACTCTTTGATATATCTTACTCCAGAATTCCATATATAAACTGCAGTAAAGCCCAAAAAAATTAAAATAAAAAAACACACATTATAGAAAGCATCTCTGTAAGAATGAGGAACCATACTATTTCTTTAACATTTATCACAGCTAAGAAGACAGTATTTTTTTGTGGAAGCATGAATGTGCGCGTTTAGGACAATGAAATCTTCAATTCCTTATATGACCCACATTTCAAGTTTTTCACGAAAGTAACGCAAATATACATCTCACGCTAAATTATTCATGCATGACAGTCAAACTAATGGTCTATGTTTTACCCAAGGACCATATAACCAAAAATAAAATAAGGGATCAACTTCTACACACAAACTTAAAATGTATAATGAGAAATTTTATTCCATCAAAAGTTATAAATTAATATCTCAAATCAATTATTTATAGACTACTCATCCTTAGATTAACAGATATGGTTGACATAAGATTACCTTGGTTCAATTTCAGATAAACTTAAAAGTTCAAACTTTAATATCCTCCAAAAATTTAAATATGTAGCAGAAATGAGGGAGAACACAAATCTTAAGTTGCTAAACACGTAATTTTTCATCTGGTCACAACTTCTACATAATTAGCACATAACCAAACCACAACAGCAAAGCTAACCAAATAATAAATGAATATAATAGTTACAACAAGCAATAGGTACAGCAAAAATAGAAAGACTATGAACATATGGCACAAGCTCCTGTTATAAATATGTGTTCTTCTGCTCATTATAAGAATCCTATTCTAGCATCCTTTAGCATTGCTTTCATTCCCATAAGAATTTTCTGCTATGAATGAAGTAGCCTCTTCCAAGCAAAACCTCTCCTACCTTTGTATCTCTTCCAAGTATCTTGCGATGTCACCTCCACTTTTTTCTTCATTACACCTCTATTTTGGTTCCCATTGCCTTGGTGAAGTTTTTAGCCACCTTCATCTCCTTATACTTCTCCATTTCCACTTCTTCCTCATAAGGTCTCCATTATCATTTACTTCATTTTGGTTGTCTTTGCTGACACTTTCACCGCAATCACTTCATCCACAACAGCAACCTCTGCTATCACAATCATTGTGGCCTCATTTGCTGCAGTTGCCTCCATTGCCACCTTCATAACAGCCTCCTCAACAACCACCTTCATCCCAAATTCTACCAAACATTTTACAAAATCCTTGAATTCTAACTTGGTTGCTTTGTCCAACTAATCATATTTTGAACGGGTTTGGAAGATGCAACATGACATGAAGCAAAACTTTTTGGCCACTGCATAAACTTGATCGTCTTGAAGACCCCTCAACTGATAGAATACTCAAATACTTGTTGTCAAGCTCAACTCAGTTTAAGTCAATAAGATTATTGAAGGGATATTGACAATATCATCTCCCAGCATATATCCACCTTATTTTCTTTTTCATTCTAGATCTGGTTTGATCCTCCAATCTCATAAGATTCCATTCTGACACACTTCCAACAATGGCCACCAAGTCCACGTTCTTCTTATGAGAGAAATTATAATATTGTACTTGAAATGGTTTAGTTCATGTCAAAAGGAAACCCCCATAGTTGTAAGTGTCTCTATTGAACCACTCTACCTTGTTTCCCTTGTCGATTGTGCTCTGTTCTTCTTTGTGCTTGCTCCTTGCAACCGAGTAAATCAAGTTACAAAGTTTTTATCCTTTTTTTTTTCTTTTAACCCCTGAGCCTTCCCTCCAACCTTCTAGATGAGTATATCAATTCTTAATCTCTATGGGCAAGTTTTCCTAGCCGAGGAAACTGATACAGGACCAAATCCACCTCTTGCAGCGCAATATGACAATCCTATTGCAAGTCTATTTTATTCATATGGCCTGCATATATTAAAATTTTATATACATTTGAACCTTCATATAATAGGGCATTTTAAGGACATTTCTTTTTTTATCATTTTATTATTTGGCTAGTTCTAGCATCCTCTTTTTGTCTTTCACCTCTTTGTGTGTGATCTAAGCAAATCCCTATTATACGTAAAAATCCAAAAGGAGAATCCTGCTGCATACTAATTTGACTTTTTTTTTTTTTGTCAATCTGGTTATCATAATTGTTTTATCTTTATCGTTCCATTACACCAACATGACCAGCCATGCAAATGGATTCTTGATACACAGCAGAATAAGTCATATAATTAAGTGGTTGAATAAGAGTTAAAGATTACTATAAACAAGCCAAAGAAAAAAAAAGTGTTTAAACTTATTTAGTATTTAATAAAAGCAAAATTTTGATCCGGCCCTATTTCAAGATAGTTATAAAATGGCTCATTCTGATCTTAATTTTAGTTTAAAAAATGCTTGTTCAATTTTAACTCAATTTGAACTATAAATAAGCAAATTATTAACAATTTTTAATCTTTTAATATATATATATTACATGCATGCATACATGATCCATAGATATAAAATAAATAAATAAATTTAAACATTAACTACATGCACATGCATACATAATCCAATCCAATATCAAAGTTCAATTGAAGCTAAACCTGAATTGTATGACGACTCATAGATTTGAACTCAAGTTCAACCCAAACAAATTTATTCTAATTTTTTAGCAATAATTCAATAACAAAGCTCAATTGAAGCTATTTGCATTAATTTTAACATAAATCCATTAAATAAGTGCCTTGACACTTCACTAAATGATTTATTCTTCAAGCACAAACAAATATTTTCATTAGTGTGAGTCAGTGCATCCAAACTTGCAATTAGCATGCAATTCCATCAATTTCTAACATTAAATTCCTCTACCCAATTTTTTATTCCAATTTTCTAACCATACGACTTCAACATTTCTGTTAAATCCAATTGTCAGCAATCGATGGCTGTGAGTGCATACGCATAACAATCTCGTCAACTACATCTCATCATCACAAGTGTGCAGTGATGAAGCAAGAAATTTTATTCAGGGGGGTGCCTATTGTTTGCTGTCACATTACGGGGGGTCTCCGTTTGGAGGCAAGAGAGGAGCGAAAGATATTTAAATGAGTTTTATTCAACATTCTTTAAAATATTTTTATTTCAGCTAATTTAAGTGAGTTTCAATTTCAGCTAAAATTTACCCGAGATTCTTTAAAATAAAATTTCCAATAAAAGTCAAAGATTTTCACTAAAACTTGTGTGTGTGTGTGTGTATATATATATATTGATTGCATAGCATAAATCTGAATAAAAATATAGCTTAATGATATCAGAAATCAAAGATCTTTAGCTCGTTGGATTCGTCTCGTCGAGCCGCTCGATTTGACTATAAGCAAATAAATTTTGGAAACCGTTTGATCATCCAAATTATGTTTTGAACTTTCCAAATGTGCTTCGGGTCCTTGATTTGGACTCATTTGGGCTCGGATTGAGTCGAATTTGGTGTTGTTGGGTTCGTATTTTCAAGACGTTCAGTTCGACTATAAGTTTGTTGAAATCAGAGTTCAGATGGTCTCCGATTTAATTTTTGAAGTTTCCAACTTGATTTTTTTCTCGAGATTCGTGCCCGATGAAGATAATTTTTTGATGATATATCAATAGATTAGTCTTGATTAAGAAAAATAAATTAATCTAATTACTTCTTTCTCTTACATTGAGCATGTATATAAGAGAAAAATTAAAGATTTCTCACATATAAAAATGTACGGGTGATAATTTGCTCTTCCTTGTTCTCCTTCAGTGGTACACATAAAATTGAATTTTTTTTAAGGGGGGGCACGTGCCCCCCTTGGCCCCCCTCCCTCCGCCACTGCAAGTGTGTCATGCTGAAGGATGTTGTAAACATTTAAACCCTTACACTAGATAAATTTAAGGATCTGATAGAAAATTTAAATAGAATTAACTGAATCATTAGATGGCGTGAATATAAATTTTACTCACAATTAAGGGAAGCACATTCACGTAATGCAGTTCCTTGTTGCCAACTTAAACTGGTTGTCAATAATGACACGATCAACTAACAAAACCTTCTTTTTACTCCATTAGGAAAACATAATTCAAAATATTCTTTGTTTTATGGCTAGGGACTGTTAAATCCTGGAAAAGTAAAAGCCGCGTAAACATAAAGCAAGCCATTTATTAGTTAGCCACACAGATCAGAGAAAATGCAGTTTAAACACATAAACGTGACAAATCTTTCAAAGGTAACTAGAATATGTCTGGAATATCAAAAAGAATCACAAGGCATCAAATCATATAGATGGTTTTTTTTTTTACTTTCTTTCAATTTCCAAATTCTTTTGGATGATACATAGATTAAGTTTGAGCCTTTTTGTATATAATAAGTTCCCTTTTTAATGATGTCGAGTTTATTAACAATCGTCAAAGCAAGCACAGAGGCATTTTATAGTGTTTCCGTACAAAAGACAAAATAGTTAGGCTGTGAGAAGTATAAAAAATGTGAAGTTTACCATTTTGATTATAACAAAGTATCACATGAATTAAAAACTGGATGGAAGAAAAATAGTGTTCTCTATTTTGTGCTTTGTAGTCTTTACATGCCATAAGATTAGCCCTACAGAAGTAGATAACCTTATTTCTATTGGTGGTTTGAACTTTGAACTACTTAAACAGAAAAGCACAAGTGCTTGACAACACATGTACTCATATTCAATCAAAGAGAGTTTAGCATCATTAATCTCTGTGAATCTCATTGATAATTTTTTTTTTTAAAGATGTGATGTGCAGTATTATTTGGTTGAAATAACACTTCGACTATATTATATGTTCCAATGAAAAAAGAAAGGAACAAAGATTGATAAACCTCAATCAAGTAATTTTTATTTATAAAGAAAATTTTAGTTGCTTTTAATGGGGAAAAAAACTGACTAGCAATTAGCTCTTTCTATGTTTGTCTCTTTGTGACCAAGCACATATGTATAAATTTAAATAGATGGATCTCATCCTTTTAAGAGAATGATATTATTCTCTAATTAAATTTCCAAATTTAAGACATTTATATGCAATATCAAAATCATCCTTCATTTCAATCAAAATTTGCAAATGGATTATTGCATGCATTTCTAAGATCATTTATTCAAACATCACAAATAGTAAATAAATTCACACTACATGCATTGAATCTTCAAGATAATAAGATGAGAGAATTGTGGTTTAGAAGTAATGAGAGCTTCAAAATAGTTTAAATATTGATAAATGGGTTTGCTTATGAATCTAAAACAAGTTTAATGATTTTAACATACCATTAAAAAGAATAAAGCAAAGTGAATTTTGTGTTCTCTTACTCATCTCATCTTACTATTATTTATGATGTGCACGCTCTATTTATACATTTTCTTGTTTTCCCACACATAATCAAATTTTCTTATAATTTTTTTAATAATTTATCTAACAAAAAATAGAAACACAATCTTTTTTTTAAAATAGTCTGCTATGCCCAAAAAAGAATACAGTTATGGATTGGTCTTACGGGAAAAAAAATCCTTTCAAAGAGTTCTTTAATTAAGAATAAAATGATTATTTAACCTACCTATACAAATAAATTACTCAAAAAAAATTCAAATCAACGAATAGAGCATTTAAAGATATTAGCATAACAAATCTATCTGTATTAGTTCATTTAAGTAACTTATTCAACTCTAAAAAGTGCTTAGTTAAAAAACCTTTATCAATGATAAACTGCATAATTGTATCCTGACATGCAAGATAAATATTTAAAATTAAAGCAATATCTATTGTAAAGATATGGATGCATTATAGCAAATAAATGATCATTAATAAAATTCATCACTTTACCTGTTTTTATAGCTCATTTTCAACAATGACTAATTTACCAAATTCCAATTTAGTTTTGAGATATCAACTTAATAGCTTCGAGCAACTTGTTGATCTCCAATGGCTTTGTCAAGTGAAAATCCATTCCACAAAGAAGCGTTTTTTTTGTTTCATCTGGTGTAGCATGAGCACTTAGAGCAATGATAGGGATGTGGATACCATATTTCTTTTCTTCTGCGCGTATGCATTTTGTTGCCTCATATCCATCCATAGTTGGCATCTGTACAAAAATTTTGAGATAAAATATGGTTATACAATACAGTTCTGTGAAAAAAAAGGATTTAATAAGACTAGTAAAAATGCCCGTGCATTAAATGCACGAGATTAAAAATTTAAAAATAAAAATTTATATTATAAATATTTTAATTATATTATCATTGTTAAGATGAAAAAAATTTCTTAAATTTATTATGATAAATAATTATAATTACTAATATTTATTCGCATGTGCATAAAGTCTAGATGAATAAAAATTAAAAATTTTAAATTTAGCGAAAAAGTGTCATTAATTTTGTTTCACCAATTTTGCAACAAAAACAAAGGAAAAAATCAACCTAAATAAAAATAAAATTTTGGTGTAGCTCACATGATCATAATGCAATTCCATTGGGTAATTTCACTTGATCAAAAGATGCAGGTAGAGTTGTGACCAATCTAAGATATGGATAATTTTTCTTTTGTACTTCTTGTTTTTAATATCTTGTAAATGCAAAAAAATAACTAACAATACTAAATTTGGGAACTAAAAGCATAAAACGTTGATATAGTTCAACAAGCATGAGTCTAATCAAAGCTCACTCTATATAATTTTCCAAAAAGTATCTAAAACTACAAATGTTCCAAGATTTAGTATTTTCTAATGGACAAATTAATTAACATAAAGAACTTCAACCTGAGTAGTTCATGATTAATAGTGTGCCATAGCATTATAAAACTTTTTATTGCATTTTTTACATGATTGTTCATCTCCAAATGGTGGTATGTTTTTTCAACAACATTCCCAAACACAGCCTAAGTATGATAAATCTTGAACGATATGTGAAGAAGAAAAAAAAGAAACCTAAGAAACATAAAATATATGAATACTTTAAATCTAATGGCATAGAGTTCTTAGCTCACTTGAAATTTGAATAGCATTGTATCATTTTATAGCAATATTTTAGGTGATTAGTGAGCCCTGTAGAAATTCAAAAATTATTTGTGAAATGCTATTTAAGTATATATAGTTCAAAAAGACTTTAATTTTCTTCAAAACTATCAACTTACCATGCTTTGGCATCTCCCATCATAAAGGTAGCATATTGCACCATAAATGATCTACTTCATAGCATCTAAACATTATAAAATATACACCAAATGTTTGCATCTTCCTCTTCCAAATCAGAACTAAGACCTCGATGCAGAGGTCAAGGACTTTGTACTCGGTTGACAAGTCAACAGGTGCAATAAATTGCTCAAGATCAAAGTATTCAATTGTGTTATGCGATATAGATAATCTCCCATGCTTGCCTATCCATTCTATTATGATACAAAAGGTGAAGAAATTATCCAACGGCAATAGAAAAAATAAAGCATGGTTATAACATAAGAGTAGGTACCTTTGGGAGGGAATCAATGTAAGCTTCAGGGATATCCATTGGGTGCCAATTCAAACATACTATCGCCCCATCACTGAAGGAATCAAATATTAATTATTATTATTATGGATTATACTTCAACTACTGATCTAGCTGCAGTTCATCAAACCAGATTAATCAGAGGAAATAATGTAGTGAGACTTATGAAAAGATTTAATGGATCAATATGAGGAATAATATACCTTTCTTAAATTTAATAATATTTTTCTGACACTCCCACTATATTACCATTCAATTGTGCAATGGAAAAGCAAATTGAATAGCAATGAATGAAGTAGTTGAACAATCGAACCATGAGCACTAAATTTAGGCTTCATTTGATTGGACGTTTTTTGTGTTTATTTCATTTTAAAAACGGTAAATTTATTTCTTCTTTACAATTTGGTTCCTCAAATCACATTCCCAATAACATCATTTTCTTCATTTTTCTGCTATTTTGAGAAAGTTTTTTATATGTACTTCTTACTTAGAAAACTCGATATTCTAAATCAACATTTCTAAAACTATCTTTTACAAGGTACCGGATAACCAAATGAAGCCTTAATCTTCATAGGTTGCAACTAATTATCAATAAATCATACTTGCTAATGATCACCTAACTCTAATTATGAATAGCAACAAATACTTGTCTTACTAATCAGAGGCATAAATAAAAGCTCATATGTAATTCTATTTTTTATTACTTCTTTTTTATAATATATATCTACAAATATATTTATATATAAATATATTAGAGAGAATAAAAATCTCTGTTTTAGAGAGATAATTAGAGAGTAGAGAGAGGACAATCTCAAATCATTGCTTGAGGAGTAGGTCTGTGGCTATGCAATGGAGTGCAAAGAGGTACAGCTTGCAGGCGAGGGGTTAGCAAGTGTAGGAGAAAGAGAGGGCTGCAGGTTGTAGCCTTGCTAGGTGCAAACGAAAAAAGGTGGATGAACTTCAGCTTTGGGAGTGCAGTGGAATGCTGGAAGCGCATAGAAGCAAATATCATAAATCATAAAGAAAGAATAGTAGCCAAAGAAGCATGGAGAAAATATCATTACCTTCGCACTTCGCACCAATATCCCTTAGTGACTTTTGATCCAAGAGCTTCATCGTAGAAGAAGGCCAAGCTTTTTTAGCAACTCCTTGAAAGCTCCTCTCCACGCAAAGCCGAAGATGGGAAGACGATAATGATCGCTATAAGACGTTGGGAAGAAAGAGGATACGAAAGGGTGCAAAATCAAACAGTTGAGAGGAGGAAGCAAAGGCAAGCCGAAGAGTCCAAAACGGAGGAAATCGTCAAAAAAATAGGTAACGGAGTGTTAACTAGTCGTTAATTGTCATTATTTGGGTTTATTAAAAATTTATACCAGTGGCTGAATCGTGAATTTGGGTTAATTGAAAATTTATTACCAATGAAGCCCAATCGCGAATGAGGCAAATGGCGCAAAGGGGAAGACGAAATGCAATTGGCTAGGGAATAGGAATCGTTCTTTTTTTTTTAGTCGCGGATCTATACAAAGAGCATTAAATTATATAAGTATTATTTTTTTGATTTATTAATTAGTTATAACATAATTGATGGCTAAGATAATTTAAGAATAAATAAAATGGATGGTCAAGATTTGTTGGGGAAGGAAACTCAAGCCCCTTTTATAATAGTAGTATAGATTTTATATTGATTTATTTTAGTATGTGTCATATGCATAAATAACATTTTATGAAAGAACAATTTCTAAAAAACATATTTTCACTCCAGATGCAGAAGTTAACATCACCAAAAAAAATTCAAACAAAGCATGATTGAATATATAAAATTCGAGGAATAAAATATTTATTCATTAAATTAAAAAATAAAAGAATAAAATAAAAAATCTTATAGTATTATATTTAAAATCTACAACCATCTTACTAGGAAAACTTATTTAAGAACCCATTAATATTTCCACATTGCCAATATAATTAAATAGCACGGGTTAAAGCACTAAAAAATGGACACATAATTTCTATTTTCATCAAAAATGATATTTGGCATCTTCGTTATTAATTAAGGTGCTTTCCGTATTTCTTAATTGTGTAAACTATGCCACCAAGATTTTTCACTTTGTTATGTTGGAATAGTAGAATAAATTCATAAATGTTTGATTTTACAATTGGAAATATCAGAAAACAAAAATATTTATTTTCAATACATAGCTTCAAATAAGTATTTGGATTACAATGACATATTTGAACAAAATCATAAAATAATGAATTTCTTTATTGGCACCTTACACATGCATACATATACCTAGAGTCATGCAAACATACATAAAAATTAAAATGACAAAGAGATATTAAATGATTGTCTGATATAATCCTATCAATTATTGTCACAAATAGCTCAAAATAATCAACTTATTAAGCAAAATATCAATGTAATATTCATACATCAATAAATAGAAAATTTAATATTAATATAGAATCAAACATATCTTTCAGAGGATTTTCCTAATTTTCATTTTTCTTAATCAACGTAAATATTTTCTTGTTGTAGTAATAACAAAAAAAGTGATACGTAATGTAATTAAGTTATATAATAAGAATTTTTTTAGTATAGACTGCAAAGGATAAATGTTCATTACCTGACAATCCATCAAAATAAAATCAAATGGTAAATGCCTTGAGCTTCTTCCTTCAGAAATAAGACTTGTTTCTTTCAAAGCTTTTTTTACCACATTCAAAGCTTCTAATCCATTGTCAACAAATTGGACACTTGCACCAGAACGAGAAAGCAGTTTCAAGGCAATTTGACGTAAGATAAGCGTATCTTCCACCAATAAAATATTCATGCCACATAAAGGTTCTTTCACACTCTCGTCCTTAAACACCATATAATTATTTTGATGAGTATATGCAGAATTCAACAAAATTCTTTTCTCTAACTCATTTGTTTTAATGGACTCTTTTTCAATCTCTGATTTCAGTTCTTCAGTTTTTTGTCTGAATTCTTGCATAACTTCCAGAATCTTATAAAAACGGGAACCATGAATAGGTTTATATAGCATAAGATCATATGGAATTTGTGAACAAGAAGCAGTTGAATCAGTCAAACAAATAACTTTATACTGATGAAAGAAATGAGTGCTTTTAGGAAGCCAGGATATGAAGTTCCGCATTTCAGAGAAATTCTCAAAACTCAAATCAATAATAACTAACAAATACTTATAGGAACCTTTAAAGATTGCTTTCTTTGAGACATCTTTTATGCTATGGGGCAAAACTTGGTTATTCTCATCCTTGGAACAAGAAAACTCATTATCATCACCACTAGAAGGTAAACTGGTATCATCGCTTTCAGAGACACTGTAATTATGAATCATCTTCTTCAAAACAGCAAATATTTTTTCAGGTTGTTGAGCTACACTGACCATGACACCAAGGCTTCTCATCCAATCTTTCAAAATCCTTGTTATTTCAACACTATTAATTACAAGTAGGCATTTTATCCCATCCACAACACCTTCTGACATTGCCCTGGCAAGCATACTTGATTGCACCTTCAATCTTGTTTTAGAGGAAAATGAATGCAGCCTATTCAATATTGGAATTTTGCAAGAGTTGAAATCTTCTTCAGTATTATTAGAGGAATCATCAGTAGACTTCAGGAAAATATTAAATATAAAACAACTTCCTCTTTCGCCAGGATGTTTTTCTTTAATGCCAATATCACCATCCATCAATCGAACCTATGAAAAATAAAATTAAAAAATCAAATCATTGAAATGAACTGAAAAACATTGTTCAATAGAAAGTATATTAAGTTTCAACAATAGTATATTACTTGCAAACAAAATTAATAAATTAAATTAAAGTTGAAATGGGTATTCGTAATTACATAGGATTGGACTATTCCAAGTCCCAAACCAGTGCCCTCATAGCCAAAGTTTGAGTCTTTCAGTTGAACATAATTTTCAAAAATGGAAGATCTTTTGTCCTTTGGGATTCCGGTGCCTGTATCATCTACTTCAAAAATAAACTCCAAGTCACCTTCACCGCGATAATTAATTGAGTTATGAGGTCTCTTAGTCGAATAAACACCTCCAATATTAGAAAAAAATCTTGATAAAGAAGATGATATGTTTAAAAACTGGCTCTGTTGGATTGAAGTGAGCTCTGAATTTTTTGACCAAGCCTTTTTAGCCCAAGCTCTCACCATAACATGACCCTCATACGTAAACTTTACAGCATTGCTAAGAAGGTTATCCAAAATTTGTTTAAATCTTCTACAATCACCTCTGACATTTGAAGACATCAAAACAGAGAAATCACATGGATCCCATATTACCTCAATCCCTTTAGCAAGTGCAACTACATGGAAAAGATCAACAGATTCTTCAATAGCCTGAGCCATATTAAATTCCACGTCTTCAAGTTGCATCTTTCCTGCTTCGACCTTACTTGTATCAAGAACAGAATTCAAAATCCCTGAAACCCATAAAGAACACGGAATAACCATAATTATTTGGAAAAAAAATATTATGACATTAAAATCATCCATTCGAGTTAGAAACTTTTGTTATTTTTCAAATAATATGATAGCATAAGAGTCAATTCAATAGCATACTCTTTTTTTCCTAAATAGTAAGTTAAAAGATCGAGACGAAGAACAAAATCTATAAACAAATTTAATAAATCAAATAATGAAATAATCTAATAACTCACCTAATAGTTTTGATGCACATTGATCCATTTGAACTAAATTTCTAGCAACATCAGAATCTGGAGTAACATCATCATGGCAAAGTCTAAGTAATCCAGTAATTCCCGCTAGAGATGCCCTCATATCATGACTAGCACTTGCAAATGCTATACTTTTGTTCATACTTTTTCTCTCAGCTTGTTGAGTGGCCTCCTTTTGTTTAATAAGATTAGCAAGTGTGTATGTCTTTTGTCTTTGTAATCTCCTAAAAAGCTTTGAAGATATACAACTGCCTATAATAGCAATTATAATAAAAAAAGACAACAATAAGACTACCGCAACTTTCATTTTTTGCAATAAAAGCATAAAATTCTTCCCTGGAAATGCAACTACTATAACCTGCAAGAAGAAAAAGATCATAATCAAAAAGATAGAAATTCTAGAAAATAAGATAAAAAGCAATATCCTTTTAGAATATCAAAGGGGAAAGATTTGCCGTGTTTATTATTGAATAACATACCAGTTTGATTTCAGCAAGACGGATAGCTGCACATCTAAACATAATTTTTTCTTTCTTTGACATCAAATGTTTTACGCTTGAAGAACGAGCAAACAAATGTGCATTAATAATATCATCACAAGATTCACCAATTATTTCATTCTTTGGCAAGCCGAGATTCACATTTATTGCCTTTAGAGTGTTTTTATTATGACTGTCTAAAAAATACAAATCATCTCTTGTCAACACAAAAGCATGTGCATCATGAAACTTGATAGAAAATAAATAATTGATAAATTTTTTTAATTTAATTCCAAGAGCAATCACAGTAAATCTATCTACTGGAGCAGTAAAGAAGAGCATTTTATCTCGATCATCTCCCCATCCATATCCATATGATGGACTCATGCTCACGCCTCTCAATGCATCAGAAAACCATAATGAGTCATTCCAATGAATAGAGTTAACAACATGTATAGCACCATATCGCTTTCCTGCATAATTATCAACCTTTTGACTATACCATTGATGCACTGTCGAATTGTCCAACTTCAATGAAGTATCAAAGAATACAACCCGAGTTTGACCTCTTTCAAGTAAATAAGAGAAAATAATTTTGTTGGCCCTAACAAAAGAAATTTGTGATGCCAATCGAGTTATTTTCAAAGCCATGAACAAACGTGAGGCAACCTGAAAGTTGAAAAGAGTTTCATTAATTTATCTTCCAAAGTAGCACTACTTGTTTAAGATAAAATTAATAGCTGAAACTTTACCTCGTTCTCAATAGCAGAAGATGAAGACAAATTCTTATCAAAAGAAGAAGCAATAATTCTAGCAACACGGTGAATTGACAAATTTGCTTCAAAAAGGTGAAGAGCTTGCTCTTGAAGATGGTCTGTTAACATTATCTGAGTCACGCTAAAATCACTCTCCAAGAGATCTTCAGTATGTTGAGTTATGAAAACAAACGTAGAAATAACGCCAATACCAACAACAATTATAACCTGAATACATAATATAGTTTTTTTTTAAATCAAGAAAAAGCATTATTTTAGCCATTGTATACATTTTATATTTAAATAAATGTTTTTTAATACATAAATGGCATTGTGAGGAGACAAAATAATATATTAGAAGGAAAGAAATGATTACCAAAGGCATGAGTATGTACATGTGAGAAGCAACATCAAAGCGCATCATGACCTTTCCACTGCATTTCAAAGATAAAATTCATTCAAAGGATCCAAATATCATTGTGCAAACACATATTAAAACAATGCTCAAGGTAGAAGGAGACATAATTAAATTTGATGACTCAAACTGCAAACTGCAATAACAATACTACCAACAAACTTCCAATTATTTTATTAATATCTGCAAAATCAAAATCAACCTACCATGCATATTCCTATCATAAATTATAACACAAATCCTTTCTCATTGTGCAACAGGTATGAACATACAAATATGTATAGTTTAAAAGAAATAGGCATAAATTGGTGGCGATCAATATTGAAAAAGATCCATAAAAGGTTGTCTATCATGCTTTAGCAAATTGGTGTAAATTGGACAACAATAACAAACAATAATAAACACATAATTTGTTAACCATTTTTTACACAAATGAACATTTGCAAAAACTGAATCAACGGCTCATTTGTTTCACTATAGTTGAAAAATAAGTTATAGAAATAATGATTTCATTCACTCAATCTGAGTGTGAAGCAATGGTAAAAAATGTGTGGTAGTTGAAATAAAAATTACTTACAATTCATCAAAGAATTTGGGTTAACACATCCAACATCTCTCTAATGAAATCTGTAGTATAAGCCACAAAGGAATCGTTCTCACTCAATTTGAGGCAGAATAGAATCTCATATTTTTATAGCTTTAATGAATAAGATAACTAGGGATGAGTTGCTTATGGAACTCATTACAGGAAAGGTTGCTTTTCATGCATAGCTCGGAGAATCATTATAGTTGTATCCTTAAGGGTGGTTGGAAAAACTCAACATATGATGCATCTAAAATTTTATGAAGGGCTGCCACGGCCTTGAACCAAATGCCCGAATAAGTCAATTTTTATGAATCTAATTACATTAATTTAAGCTTTAGGAGTGATGTCGCATCAAGAAATTTAATGATGAATGCTTATGTAGCATGCAACATGGCAACATGACAATTATGTAAAACATGGGTCAATCAACATAAACAAGGAGAATCTTTTCTCAAGCATCAACGCAAACACTAATCGCTCACCTATCAACAATAATAATTAAAGAGTCGCAACTTATTTTGGATGACGGACATTGTGAATATGTAGAAATTCATCCTTTAACAATAGCTTTAGCATATGGATTCAATATAGACACAACATTATCAATGCAAAAGTGAAGGATCATTCGAGCTATATTATCAAATTTTGCATTAAATATTAATTAAACTATACACTAAGTTGGAAATGCATCTTGAAAAGATTCTCCATCATTGCCTTTGAATCATTCTCTTAGAATGGAGGGGATGATTTTGACATCTTTATTTATTATTCCATACTTTCTTGTACTTGTCATATCTATACTACTATATAGGTGTGGCTTGGGAATCCACCCATAGCAAATCTGAATGGTTCATCTATAAATTTTAAATTAATCTACAACGTCCTTATATAACTCTTCAAATTTTATCATTTATCCTAAAAAAAATTTGACTTTAATGCTTCTTTAAAACAAGAGTCCTCGCCGTTTCGGATACCGCTTGTTGTAGTATCATGAAAAACTGCCCAACGCATATGCATTTATATCGCTATCTGTTACTACACCGTCCTCCCTTTTAGCGGGAGCATTTCAGCAGCTTGCCGCACGAAGCAGTAGCGTAGCCGAACTTAAAGCCCAACCCCAACGCATCACTTCTCACTTCTTTAGCTTTCTGCTCTCTCATCTCTCACTCGCCGAGTGCAACTATTCATCCGCTTTTCTCTCCCAGTCGCACTTCAGTTCGGCAATTGTTTGTGATCTATTTCTTTACTTTCTGGAAATGTTTACTATGATCATGTTTATTTTCAATTTTTGAGAGAAAAGTCTGAAAGGTTGTGTTCTTACCATGGTTTAAAATTGCACAATATGAGGCTCGCCTTGAGGCCCGCCTTTGCGCAATTCCAATAAAAAACTCCTCGATGCTTACGCCTCAAGTTTTTTTTATGAGGCTTGCGCCTCAACCAAGTTGAGGCCCGCCTTGTGGCCTGCCTCGCCTTACTGGCATGAAGCTTACGCCTCACGCTATATATATTAAAACTTACATAAATTTTGAAGTAAATGTCCGACATTGGACTCTATAGGAGAAGAGGGAGGGGAGAGAGCAGTTCACCATAATGATGATTCACATGAAGAACCCCTTAGTGATGATAGTGCTGATGACTTATGAGTTCTTATGTGATATGTCATTGCTATTTATTTTTGGAAATTAGAATTATATGTTAATGAAAAGAATACTGGGATTTGGGAAAGATAGAATTTTGAGTTGAACTATATTTCATGTTGTCTTATTATTGAGATATTTTGATTTTACTTCATATCTTATGCTTTTTTATGTTTTATATTATTCACTCATTAGTATATAAAAATTTTATCATTTTATATTTACGCAATCTTTTGATTTTGAGGCTTACGCCTCAAAATGCCTTGAGGCTTACGCCTCGCCTCACGAATGAAAAACGCCTCAATACCCGAATACGCAATTTTAAACATTGGTTCTTACAAGCAAGATGTGGGTTGTCCCGTGCTAGGAATGCTTAGCTATAATGCGAAGGTAATCATTCTCTTCAAAACTTACTTTCTGAACGTTATGTTGGCCTCTAGCATGCCTCAAATTAGGACAATTTCATCCACAACAATCAAGCGTCTGATTGTTTCATTGAATTTAAACAGCATATCACCTTTTATTTTAGTTACTTAAAATTTTTAATAGGCTCGCCAACTATTTAAATGAAAGTAATTGAGGTTTCCTAATAGAATCATTAAGCCTGAGCTTAACTTAATAAAATATAATATTGTGCAACTCTATATACATGAGAATTGTTTCCTTCTACTGAAACTTCTCAGCACTTACAGAATGATGGCTGGTTTATCCTCAACAAGAAAGCACAAAACTCTCTTCATAAAGGATAGAGGTCTTTAGATGTTTCAAAGTTACTTCAAGATAGAATAAGCAACCTAATGGAAACTGTCGTAGTCTTCTTCGAAACAGGGCATACTAACATGAATAATGTCAAGGTCCAGCATGTTCACCGGGATTATAATTTCTTTTCTATTTATAATTATTTATTTTTTTGTTGGGTCTAACATTTGCAGCATTTTAGCTAACTAAGAGTGATCTTATGATGGAATAGTCCATATCATCTCAAGCCTTAAGCAACATGTATTAACTATTGTAGCTTTTTTTGGATGATTTTTCTTGAAAGCAATTGATGCTCTCAGAGATGTTATTTACTCAGTTTGCTATGCAAGTTGAGTAGCTTTCTTTTGCAGGAGAAATAACTTCTCCATTCTGGATAATATAAGTTGGATATTAGGTTTATCTCAAAATTTTTTGGATTATTTTGGATATTAGATTCTTAATTTTTTTGGATAATTTTGGATGATTTGGACCTCTTGCATCGCACATAGCATTCTTTCTACTTTTTAACTTACACACTTCTAAACTATTGTATATACAAAATAATATAAGTTTATATGCCTATTGAGTATATATAAATTATGTATAAATATATAAAAATTATATGTCATAAAGACTTAAGTATCAATCATATAGCATGTCATAAATTAATTTTAAATTGTATCTATATATTTTTTATTTTTTAAAATTTTATTCACGTGCATCATGTGCACGTGCATTTTACTAGTCTCAATAAAAGCATGAAATGTGAACACCGTAAATAATGGTTCGGTGTTTGATTAAAGAATGATGCACAAATACTTTGAAGGGCGAAAATGAGGGAGATGATAAAAAAATTGTTCGTGAGTTAAATAGAAAAATTAAAAGCCTCATATTTGGAAGTTCAATAATGATAGGAGTATAATTTATTTACAAAAGTAGTCCAATTTAAAATTTGTTCTAATCATTTATAACACAATTGATAGATAGTATATCATTCAATACTTTTAAAAATGAAAACTGCTTGGATTATGGTTCATATTAGCTTACTTATTGGTTTATCTCACTACGTAGAAATAAACTAATTATAACCACTCTTTTATGAGTGATCGTGCTTTATGATCTAATTGATAAAAGAGTTTCAAGTTGCTATGGAATCGACTGGGCTATGCCCTCTTGGAACACCCTAGTGTTTATTATTGTCATCACCAACCTAAGCTACATAGGTAATAATAATTGATTGAATCATGGCTTATGCTATTGACTGTGTTTCAAGTGACAGATATTGTAATTACTATCAATTTGATTCGGGGTTCGTTTGGGACAGCTGCAACTTCTTATAAAGGTGAATGTAAATAAGTTATGGAGAAAACAACTCTTTTAAAAGATGTTATAAAAGAAGCCTCCTAGCACAAAATTGTTTTTAAAACAATAAAAAAAATAATGGCCAAACAAAAATTGTGTTTACGATCTGAAAAGCAAAGCACTAAGCTATCCCAAATAAAACCTTGATCAAAAGTCAACATTTGTGAATACCTAAGTGTTTGTGCCACTGCATGCATAATTTTGATTGAATCTTGTAAAGGGACTAGTCTATGCCCACGCTAAGTGTTCAAATAATAATTAAAAATTAAATTTAGAATACTTATGAGATAAATTTTTGTGTTAATTACAATATCAAAAGGTATGTCTTATAAATCCTTTAGAATCATTGATAAAAATATTAGACTTATTTTACATCATGAACAAGTTTATTGCTCAAAAAATCTGAAGGGATTCTTTTTTCAATTAGCCCTTAGCTAACTTGAAAAACCTATTAAGATCAAGATTTTTTCATGTCATTATACCTGATTAAAAAAAAGTATAATGATTTACATAAAATTCATTATAGTTTGACATTTTGGTGAAAAGAAAATTATTTTAAAACTTCAACAAAGGGCAACAATTTACTATTCCATGCCATAATTTTGAGACAAAGATTCCTGAAATCTTGACAATATTACTATATTTCATTTAAATTTTCAATATTTTTACAATAGTTTATACTAAAAATTAGTATAATATCGGATTTGCTTATAATAAATTCTAATACCTATGTTTTAAAACTAAATTTTTAGGATTCATTTTTCATGTTAAATTATGTTCTTATTTGTAGGGCTGCAAAAAACCAAACTGGGCCGAGCCTGTTTATTAAATTTTTTTTAAGCTCAACAAAAGTTCAATTTGAGCTTATGAATTTGATCTTAACTTGAGCTCAATTTGATCTTGTACAAGCTTATGAGCAAAGTCAACATAATTCACAACTTGCCCAAAATCATGAGTATTTGATCTTGACTTGAGCTTGGCTCGAGTTCAGCTCATATTGTATTAATCAATATCTAAACACGAGGCTCATTTATAAAATAAATGAAATTAATTAAGCCAATTATGAACAAGCCTGTTAAGAAGGTTATAAATGTGCAACTTGTCAAGCTTAGAAATGAGATTTTAATTAAATGATATTCTAAATAAACACATAAATAAGTAACTTGTATTCATGAATAAAAACAATATTGTAGAATAAATAACTATCCTACTACATTTTAGTTTATTTTTATGAAGCACAACATATCAATGTATACAATTTAACATTAACCAATCAAGCATAACTATCTTAAAAAATATATATAAATAATATTTTTTTCTTAAAATGAGGAATTCATGCAGAAAACTACAATGAACTTGGGATTTAGTAAGTCTCTATCAAATGGCAAGTGACTCGTTTGAAGCTCTACCTTACGCAAACTTCGAACAACGATGTAACAATAGAGACAAGGGAAAGCTAACCTGACTGCTAATAAAGGTTTCGAGAATAATTATATTAATTCCTAATTTTTAATTAGGTGTTAATTTAATTACCTTAATTAATATAATTTGAAATATAAATAATTAATTATGAGAATGGCCATGTTAATATTGATTTAATAATTAGTTTGTAATTGAATAATTAATTAGATAATTCTAAGTATAATTGGCAATTAAAACTTTATTAAAATAACATTTAAAAAATTATTGAAATAATTAATAGCATAAATAGTAATTAAATGATTAGTTATTTTAAAAAATAATTAAATAACTAATTAGATAATTATCATTATAATTATTGAAATACTTATTAAAATACCTCCCAAATAAGTTAGTAATAAACTATTTAAAATAATACCCTAATTATAGTAATCATATTTAAAACACAAATATTATATAAATTAACCCCCTTAAATCTTAAATAGCCTTGACAAACAGTCTCATGAGATTTATCAAGATTTAACACCTTTAGGATTTAGTAAATTAGGGTTTAAAGGATTTACGTATCTAAATAGGCCCATGTAGAGCTAAGAGAAGAAATTATAGTAATAGAGAAGCATACCATATAACCATGTGATTGCAATCTAAACTCCTTCATTCTTCATGGCTTTTTTCCCTCTCTTCTTTGTAATATAAAATCATGTGGGAAAGTGATCTAGCTGATTGGATAAAAAGGAAATTCAATTTATCATGTAGATATTTAAATTTTTAAATTGTAAATAAGTTTTAATTTTGTTATATTAATATTTTATTAACTAATGATTTGTTATGATATTAACATATAAAACATATGATTTAATTAAATTAATTATAATTCATACAGAATTTTAAAATTAAAATTAATAATAATCAGTTGTGTATAGTATATATAAATAAATTAATCTTAATAAGCACTATCCATCAATTACAAATATTAACAATCAATTTAATATTCTTAAACTTTTGTTTAAGATATTAGATTTAAATCCTAAAGTATTCAAAGAGTTCATTAAGGTTTACTTAGGTTTAACTTTGGTCATGCCAAACAATTATAAATATATACACATTTATCTAGGTTAAATGTGTATATATTGGTACTATTTACATACTAAGGCTTCATTTGAGACAACTATCCTACTTATTTCTAAAGCGGCATTCTAGTACAAATTTTTTAGTTTACACAATTTTTGCACAAGAAAGATGCTTTAAAAAGAAATAAGAAAGTTGTCCCAAACGAATTCTAGATCTTACTTGCAGTCACGGGCAGAACCAAGCTTTCCTTTTAGGGGGGAAATTATTTCATATTAATAGACTAATATTTAAGAAAATAAAAGTTGTTGACTATAAAACAGTCATTAAAAATTTCAGATGGCACATGCAAGAAGGCATAAGCGGTATCAAACAATGTCTTAAACTTCGGTAAATTATCACCTATGAAGCTTGATTTTGCCATTTAATGTTTCCTCGGATAAAATCTCACCAAATATTAGAAAAAACAATAAAGCATGATCTGTGCAACGCACTTGGCAGCTCATAATAGAAAAATCTCCTAAATTAATATTGTAAACTTTAGCATCCACAACTATAAGAGTTACAGCCATTTTCCATATAACGATGCAAAATCAAGTAGACATTCTCATGAGCGTAACCCAAAGTTCTAAACATGTTCCTGGTGAGCTTCTTCATTGAGGACGCAAGATATAACAGTCAAAATATTAAGCCAAATTTTTAAATGATCAAAATTTCTTTGAATCTTGTCTTTTATACTAGAGAAAATTACTCTGGCGTGCAGTCTCTAGTATTATGTAGTTAAAATATGCTGATGATTCCAAATCACTAGCGAAGAATCAAGAAAAATAACACCAGAAAGCTATCAGTAGGATGCTAAGTTGCTAACCGCGTTTTTTTTTTTTAAGAAAAAGGAGGGAGCAGGCGGAGGAGGAAGACGTACCCGAGCGGAGAAGCCGAAGAAAACGGAGTCCTCACGACTCACGACGGCAGTCGCCTCCTACAAAGAAGCCGAAGAAAGCGAAGAAGACGAAGCAATGAGACTCCAGAGCGGAGAAGCCGAAGAAAGCGAGTCGCCGTTCGCCAGTCGCCAGGAGTGAGGGGAGAGGCAGAGAGCCGCGGGCACTGGCCGAGTATTCGGGGTTATTTGGTATCGGATTTACAGCGCGATTTAAGTCGGATTTACGCTAAATCCAGCAAAACGGTTTTGGTGCGCGCTTTAAATTCCGGCGATGGATAAATTCCGGATTTAAGGATTTACGGCTTAAATCCCGGATTCACTACACCCCTCAGTTCGGCGGATTTATGGGATTTGGCCGAAGAAGCGCGCAAAAGGGAGACAGTTACCTACACAGCCAGCGAGTTCCCGTTGTTGCTTCCGAGCAAAATGTCGTAACTTCCGATCCGACAGAAAGGGAAAGTCGTCGAAAGCGCGAAGTCGAACAGTAGCCAAATAAGAGACGCGTGCAATCTCTACACCTCCGGCGAAGCAACGAAGATGAACAGCAAGGACGACAAGAGAAGATGAAAGACAAACCCTAGCGCCTCTAAGTTATTATTGATTAACTTAATTAACATAATTTAAATATTAATGATTAAGTAAATTAATTAAATAATTAATAGTATAATTAGTGCATAAATTAAATATCTTATTTAATTAATTGAATACGTAGTAATATAATTAGTAATTAAATATTAATAAAATTATTTTAATTAATAGAACTTTAAATATATATTATTAAATATATTTTTTTCCTTTATATTATTAAATATATAACTAATATGGTAAAGAATAATTAATGAATAACTTATATTTAACATGTTATTAAATTCATAACACCTTAATTTTTATTTTTAATTATATGTTACCAAACAGTATCTCAGAATTTAAAATTTGTTATACCAAATAGTTTTCTGATTTAATATCCTCAGAATTTATTAAATTTGAATTTACCAAATTTATTAAATATTACTTATTACCAAATAGCCCCTTCGGCAGGAACAATTATTAGGTCCTCTGACCGAATGTTTCTATAGGTTCGGCCACCATTAATTTAACGCCACGTAGCAGCCCGACGACCCGATCCAAACCCGTTATAATTTTGATATTTCACGTGTCTTTTCACGAATGGGCGGGAAAATTTTAAAACACGCGGGTATATACCGTAATGAGTAAACATTTGGCCGATTATCTACTGTACGTAGAACGTTATACAGTAATTAGGGTTTACGCAAACTTTCGCGAAGCGTTCAAGGCGATGGATGATAACGATTATTCAGTCACTTTGGAAGAGCTAGACGATTTCAACGAAACATTTGGCACTTATACTTTTGATGACGATTTTTCCGATTTTTTACAAGTATTTTCTCATCTATCTTCGTCTGATCCTCTGTTTTTTGTTTGTACCTTACCTTCTGATAACTCGGTACTTGCTCGGTATTAGGGTGTAACTAGACTCTTTATAAGTAGGTACTGAGCGATATTTATTTTTATGACTTGAATTTGGTTTTTATGCGCATGAAGAACTTGTACCGAGTTTTTTAAGAACTCGGTATTGCTCGGTATTCGTACGTATAACTCGGTATTCATAATTTTTTATT